GGAGCTTCAGCTAAGTCCTTTCCTTCCACTCCTTTGACAATGCTTTAGAAAAGACATATAGAGTAACAACCTCCATGTGGCAGGGAAAATTTCTTCTTGCTTTTTCTACCTGATGACGGCCTGCCAAATCTCATTACAGAAGGTGTGACTGGAGCAAATGTCTGATCCCATATGAGGAATCAGTATGTGTGCCTCATTCTCTTTGTTTGGCGGGATGCAGAGAATATAAGGTTTTCTACTTAGAACTGGTCTGTGCCATACTGAGAGACTAGAGAAAAGACAGAGGAGTCTTTCTCCAAAAAACAGGGCTACACTTAGCTACCAGTTTGTAGAACCGTGGAGGCTAGAGATGGGAGAGAATTACTTTTAAAGTCTATGTAACAGTCTGAGCAATAATAAAGCAGAAACAAAATGGCCAACCAGTTGGACTCAAGATCATATTGAAGATGACAGGTCAACACAAAAAAATTTCATTCCAAATTCTCCCCTCTGCATAAATCAGTAAAGCCCTCCACACCATCAGCATCTTCAGTTTCTGCAGCAGCACTATGGAAACCCTTTCAGATTTATCTGCCTGGTTGCCTACTTTGTGACTTTTTTCCACACAGTGCAGCCGATGCAAAGAAGTTAAAATGTAACGACCTTCCAACCACTCGATCCAAACTGGGATAAGCTAACAGCAGTGGCCCCAGTCGGGACTTGTTACATTGGTATCACTGAAGATTTGTAATGATTATATCCAGATCCATATTTCTCCAAAATCCAGTGTGTTCACATCTGGGATGTTGGGTCAGTTCATTATAGATGTAATTGGTCATCCATGAAGATACAGCTCTGAATCTGACCTTCCCTGAAGTTTAAGATGTTCAGATGCAAGGTTTTGATCTGAGCCCATCTCTAATTGCTGCTGCATCTGACAAGTAATTAGTAAAAAATAATTGTAGAGTCCCACTGAAATGAGCAAAATTGATTAGTGGGGTAAGAGGATGCTCTTTTCCTACAGCTATTTCCACTGTTTGCTATGTGCCTGGTTCCTCAACCTCCCTCAGAAAGAAAATGTAACTTGCACAAGCTAAAAGACTGTTAGTATTAGTTAACTAAAAAGAAGACAGAATGATCAAGTTATCAGTTTTACTCTAGGTGCAAACTTTTTTTCTACAATTTTAGTTCTGATGATATATGAGTCAGTCAGATCAGAGTTACTCTGCGGTTTAAGATGTCATCAAAAAAACTTGTTGCATTTGGTGACAGCCAATTCTTAGCTGCCTATCATATATGTCTGTATAAACAGCACATCTCTATACTTACATATTCATAGATACACTGGTATATGGTATTAATATATTTTATGTTTGTATAAACACACTCCTAACACAGTGCTTCTCCCAACCAGCTCTCTATAAATCTCGACCTCCAGAGATACCTTATAATGACTTAAACATTATACCAAAAGAGGGATTCCAAGGGGACATGATCAGGATATAATAATGGGCCAATGTCAAAAAGAATTTATGATTATTATTCATATGACTCAACCATATGCTCCAGCTACTGCTGTAATCTTGCTAGTCTTGGTCTGACATCTGTAGTGATAATGAGTAAAATTGCATTACACCACACACACAAAAAAAATCAAGACACTTAAAAAATAACTAGAGGGCTGCCAGGAGAAACATTGACCTCCTCTATGAGGTCAAGAGATGGTTTTAAAATATGCTGGATGCTCCTGACAAAGTTGAAGCAATCTGTGGGTCTGGCAACCAGCTGTTCTAACGTTATTAGGGAAGAAATGGCATATAATAGAGTTGCTAAACCATATGTATTTATCACCGCCGTTAAATATCAAGCATGATCATATCACATTGATTCAAAAAAAAAAAAATCAAAGCTACATGTTTTGTTTAGTAAGTTATGAAAAGTAGTATATGTATTGAATAATGCAGAGTAAGATTGTGAGCTGGGGTAAACTCTGTGAATGTGTCTGAAATAATTCAAGATGCTTCTTAGTTGTTGATATTGTGTATTGCATAGTCAAAAAACACTTACTCATACGCTTTTAATTATCTAATGTTATATGTAAGCACAGAAGTTTCCAAGATGCCAGAGAGAAAAGCAGCAGTTTCACCATTTTATTTCTCAGCAGTTCTGAGGCTGCTTTCTCTGTTTGTTCATGAGTAGTGTTCAGCTCTTCTGCACAATTCTGGCTACATAGTAGACATAAATGCAAGTTAGAACATAGGTTGCAATAACATATCAACATTTAGGGTTTACAGGCACCTCTAGCCAATAAAAACATAAAAGACACATGACTCCTGCTGATCAGATGTGCATATATTGAGAATTAATTAACCTCTAGTTACTGGACTAAAAATAATTTTGTACAAGACACATATCTAACAGTATGGACTTCCTTGTTTTGTTTTCTTCTTTTTAACTCCACTAAGATTCCATTATCAATTACAGCACAAAAAATCTGAGTTATGAGAGGGGAAGAGAACTTTTTGAATGCTTGCTAAGGAAGAGAAGGGAGTTGAGGGAAGATTGATTGGTAGCAGGTTTCCTAATCTTTTAGTGGTGTTTAGTGGAAGGGCAATGGAGAGAAAGCAAAGAGAGGTGGATGTATAACAGGGATACAGACACAGTCACAAACTACCAGAGTTGCTACAAAATCAGCTTCATTTCCCACATAGCCAAACATAGCAGTGAAGGACAAATATTTTGGGCAGTGTCAGTCAGTCAACTAATGTGTGTATCAGCATATCAGTGAGGAAATCCCCCTAAGCTCCATGGGAGGTTTTGCTTTGATCCTAACCGCACCTGCCAGTCTGCTGACACTTTCAGCTGTAGGATTTACAGTCAGAAGACAGGAGACAGCGGTTCACCTGGGATTGTAACATGTCACTCTAAAGGCAAATATCTACTGCATTAATTCAAAGAGCAGGGTGGGCAACTGGCAGCAGGTGGGTGGTCATGAGATGGTGAGCAAGAAGCAAGGGGGCAGAACAGAGGAACGAATCAGACTTGTGTTGAGTGGGAAATGAAGCTGTTCTGCCTGCCAGATGGAACTGTACATAAAATTGCTCTGAAGTACCCACTTCACCAATTATTAGTAGCAGTAAATGTTCTCCAGCCCTCTCTCTCTGTAACCAACCCAGTGAAGAATTTGGTATTAATTTTGTATGTTCTCAGCTTTACTCACACTAAATTCAAACTCTTCTTGCCCTCTACAGTCCTTTAGCCAGCAGAAATGCTCAACATCTGCAGCAAAGCCTGCACTTTTGGTAGTTTGCACAATCCCGAGCCATGATAGAGTCTGTGATGTTGTTTTAAGCACCTGGCATCCTCCATCTATCTTCTTTATTTTAATTATTTCTGGTCTATAGGGTGAGCTAATCAAATAGGCTCCTGTCTGATGTCAGGGTATTTTCTTTGCTTTAATCTATTCTCATTTCTATATAATTCTTTTTTTTTTTTTCCTCTGGAGCTATCAAAGTATTTTATTTAACAAGCCCATCAACTAAAACAAAGTCTGCATTCTTGAATTCTAAGTCACACATAAACTTTAAAGATGCTGTTTGTTCAACGTTGACAGAAGCAGTCGTCTGTCCTAATTTACCTTCTTCGTATGTTTTTATTAGTGCTGTGAGAGCATGCAAAAACCCACTGGGGAGACAAGCTCACTAGATTGGGTTGTGTTTTTTTAAAAGCTCTGTCATCAGTCCAAGCTCAGAAGACTGAGATACTGTCTCTTGTACTGGGAAGGTAATGCAAATTGTTTCTTGTGACACTTCTGGTACCTGGACAGCTATCCCTGAGGACACCCCATACACATATAGCCACAGCAACATGGGCAAGGTGGTCTTCAAGGAATGGCCTTTGGGAAGTTTTGTTCTTCCTTCAACTCATCTTCTTTTCCTGCTTACTCATAGCAAGAAGATTAAGGGGGTTTGAACCTAGGGAAACTTAGGTTTAGGCTCTGATATCCTTTATTTTAGCACATGTAGGCATACAAACAGAGAACAGATAACCATGAGCTGTAGCAGTACGTGCTTCTTCCCCATTACTCACCGATGTGGGTCAACTCTGGCCTGCAGAAATCACTTTGAAAACAGAGATGTTAGTCAATGATCATTCAGTCCTTGCTTCTCTGCTGAGATAGCCAAGTAGTTTGCCAAACTAGTACCAACTATAGGGTCACTATTGGGTGCGCCATACCCGGGAGGCTTCATGCAGTCTTGCTATCACAGGCCCCTGGCTCACATTAGAGCAGTCTCAGTGCTGCTATAATTTGTATTGGTAGAAAACAGCCCTCAATTGCTGGAGTGCATTACATTCCAGCCCTGCCCACAGGTGCCAGGAGGGGCTGATGTGGGGCTGGAAATGCCAGACCCTTCTGACATGGAAGGGGAATACTGAGCTACTGCTTTAAGGCAGCCTTACCCTTCCTTTTTGCCACTAGTGGGTTGAGGATCTGGACTTAAATGACTAATACATATTCCAAAGCATTTAGATTGATATTGTCTTAAAAGCAAAAACATAAAACAGCCCCTACCCATAATGAGTTCAGGTAAGTATTTGGAAATGTAGAACTCGCTGTTAAAATCATGTAACCTGAACATGTGGCTTCCCATAAATCTGTAGACTGTAACACATTCTGTGCATTTTTGTTTTCTTCTTTTTTTAACCACACTGAACGCTGGCGGCTGAGTCTGTCCTGAGACTGAGCCCCAGCATAGCTCCAGGACTGAACGCATTCTCGCACATGATGTTCTAATCACTGATACTTTGTGATCTATTTCACTTACTGCTGCCTTGTTCTGTGTGTCTGTTCTCTATTTAGAAAGTTAGCTATGGAAAGGAGTTTGATTATTTTGCAGGATGTCATTTGCTCGCGCCTTCCACATACTGTTTTCTCGCTTTTACCTGAAAGAGAAAATATCAAACATTGCAGATTCCCAGATGGACTGTCTGGAATTTAGCCTTTAAAAAAAAGTTCCGTCCTAGCAGCAGACCAGATTCCAGCAGCAATTTCTTGAAATGTGAGCACAAGGATATGGAGAAAACATTTTGGGGTGAGTGTGCATGGGGTGGGCTGGAAAAGAGAGCAAGGGGTTGTTTTGTTTTTATTTGCTTTTATCTGTTGTCGTTTTCACTTTAACAGTGATCATGGCAGCAATTGCCAATAGCATCAAGCAGACACTTTCTACTACAGTTTTGTTAAGGTCTTAAATGTGTGCTTAAACTTTTTAAACAACACTTAACATAGTGCTAGGTATTTGAGAGGACAACCAGAAAGACAAAGTCCATGAACTGAGCAGCTTACACTCTTGTTTTAGATGTGACATGTCAGCTGGGGTTAAGAAGGAGAGAAGGGGATGAGTGAGAAAGGACAAGGCATACATCAATAATACTCAGTGGAGACACAAGCATTTCTATATGGTTCACTCAAAGTTTGTATTTGTTTTTAATTAATAATAATAATGACTGCTTTACTTGTTGTGGCTATCCTGGAAACAGCGCATCTACTGGAGGGATTTGAATGAAGAGCGTTTCATAGCTTTGCGGAACAGAATTAGGAAGGAATTCATATATAATGGGGCAGCATGGTCGGAGCCACAGAGACAGTTGTAGGATATTGGGGTTGGCAGTGGTGCAGCGAGCTGGAGTAACAACAGCTGCTGGAATCAGTGGAGAGTGACTTCTGCTGGGTGACAGGAGTAGGACTTTTTGTAACCTTGACCCATGTCATGTGATGGTGGCCAGGAAATAAAACAACACTCTCTTTCCAGCACTCCTATGAGTCACACAACAGCATTGGTGCAATTATTAGTCTAGATCAGCACTGCAGTATGCTGAATTATGTAGGCTCTTGAAGATAAAGACATGGGATTTAAACTCAATGTGGTGGAGAATGGATGGCAGTGCAGAGATTCAAAGAGGGCATGTAGGGTTGCCAACTTTCTAATCGCACAAAACCGGACACTCCTGCCTCGCCCCTTCTCCGAGGCCCCGCCCCTGCCCTGCCCCTTCTCCGAGGTGCCGCCCTGCACTCGCTCCATTCCCTCTCCCTCCATCGCTCGCTCTCCCCCACCCTCACTCACTTTCACTGGGTTGGGGCAGGAGGTTGGAGTGCGGGGGGGGGCCTCTGGGGTGAGGCCAGGTCTGAGGAGTTTGGGGTGCAGGAGAGGGCTACAGGCTGGGACTGGGGGTTGGAGTGGGAGGGTATGGGCTCTGGGCTAGGGGTATGGGCTCTGGTTGGGGCCAGAAATTAGGGGTTCAGGGTGCAGGAGAAAGCTCCGGGCTGGGGCGGGGGTTGGGATGCAGGGGGGGTGAGGGCTCTGGCTGGGAGTGCGAGCTCTGAGGTGGGACCGGGGATGAGGAGTTTGGGATGCAGGAGAGAGCTCAGGGCTGGGGCAGGAGGGGGGGATCCCTTTTCGACCGGGCGTTCCAGTCAAAAACTGGACGCCTAGCAACCCTAAGGGCATGCCATGGATCAAGTAATTGATGAGGAAGATTATTTTATTAGCTGCATTTTGGCTGGTGCAGTTTATACTCACACTTAAGGAAAGTGAGTCAAATTCCCTTCTCTCTTACACTGGAACATGGTTTACAACGGGGCTATCCTAGGTTAATGGAGAGGAAAACTTGGCCTAACTAATCCAGCTGTTTTTAAAAGATACTATTGTATACTTTGCCATTCAGAGAAAAATATCTAATGAATAATTTAGTCCAGACTGTCTCAGGAGGAAAAAAGAGATGCAATGGCATAGACAACATATTCTTATTCTGTACCCATTTGTCATCTTTCTTGGTATCAATACTCTTAGCTGACTGTGGAATTGGAAATTGGTCTTAATCAATGAACAAATAAATACTTAGTGCAAATGCTGGGCTGGCTATTAGTAAACAATTTCCTCTTTGTTTCTTTACTTTAGACAGCTTGGGCCAAATTCAGAGAGATACTGAATACCTTCAGCTCTCACTGAACTGGAAATGAAGGCACTGACATTTGTTCTGGGTATAGTCTCTTGAAAGGATCACATGGAACTTTCGAAATGTTTGCTGTGAGCAGGCTCCAGGGTTTTGGCCGCCCCAAGCAGCCAAAAAAAAAAAAAAAAAGCCACGATCATGATCGCGATCTGCAGCGGCAATTCGGCGGGAGGTCCTTCGCTCTGAGCGGGAGTGAGGGACCGTCCGCCGAATTGCCGCCGAATACCTGGACGTGCCGCCCCTCTCCGGAGCAGCCGCCCCAAGCACCTGCTTGCCAGGCTGGTGCCTGGAGCCGGCCCTGGCTGTGAGGTGTAGATAGGTGGGTTCCTGCCACAGATGACTGACAAAAGGAAGGTGGAGGAGGGAGAGTGGTTAGAGCATAACGACTTCCTTCCACCTCCAGTTCAATCACTGTGCATAACTGAAAATATGACCATTTAAAAAGACCTGGAGCCAGATCCTCAGCTCGTGTAAACCAGCATAGCTCTATTGAAATCAATGGTGCTACATTGATTAACACTAGCGGAGGAGCTAGCTCCCTGACTTTTGCCAAAGCTTGTTTGAAAGAACATGTTATGATATGCTGTATAATAAGTTTTATCCTCCTGATGTCAGCCATTTGCAAACTACTTTGTTCATGCAGGTACCTGTGTAGAAATGCTTTAGTTTTGCCAAAGGTGATGAAAAAGTCCCATCTAAATATAAATAAATAAATAAACCCACTCACTGTGAAAAGGATCAGTTGGCAGATTGTAGCCTGTATCTGCTCATGACAGCACTGCTAATACTATAAAAATCTATAACCCAGTCATGTGGTATCTAAAACCAAACCAAAAGAAATTTCCTTCCCAATAGTCACAGTGTGAGAATAATCACTGCCACCTTTGTATCATAGGGATTTCATATCTTTCAACAGACTTTTCTATCATCCTTGCAGTAGTGGTTTGTGTAACGAACTAGGTCCCATAAGTGAAAACATAAGTAGAGTAAGTGACCTTCATACATACTGGTATAAAATAACAAATCCAGCATTGCATCAACCCAATAGCAGAGTGTGCACAGAGGGAGGCAGGCAAAATAAATTAAACCAATGTTGATATCTGCTGTATTCCCCAGCATCTCAGAATCCCTGAAATGTCGTGTGCCTTTTTTTTATTATGATGATTTCAATTGCTCTTTTCCAGATCTACAAAAAAAACCTAGGATCTGTGATTTTGAGCAATTTAGCTATAATTTGACTTAAGTGCTGCCACAAATCCACTAATTAATTGGATTGGTAATTTCATCATAAACTTGATGGCATGTAAAGTAGAGATTTCTTATTTTCAATAATATTTTTCAAACTGTGGCGTTTCCCCCCTTCCCATCCCCAGTATGCTCCTTGATATGGTCCTTCTGTCATTTTGGCATTGATATACACCGCCATCTTAAAAATTAGAACAGAACAAGGGGTTATACAAAGAAGTACTTGAATTATAGTTTAGACTCTATTTATTAGGAATATTTTTCAATGAAACACACTGATGAAATCATGTTCTTATATCCCAGTAATAAATATATATTCACTATAGAAGAAAATCAGAACTGGAAAGGGGTAGTTGCTGGTAGTAGCACAGCCATATGCAATGTCAAGATTTGGGGTCAGACTCTGCTCATTGTTGTAACAGTGTAAACATGGAGTAATGACACTTACTTTGGTAGAGTTGCTCCTTATTTACTCCTATGGAACTGAAAACGCAGTTTCTCCATGTAAGTTCCAATAAAATGTTCATAGCCATACCTGGCTTTAACTGCTAGTGGTTCTAGTCAACTGCAATAAGAAACTTACATGTGGTTCTGAGAGTAAATCTGGCCCATTTAGATTGTTTTACCTTGAAAGATATTTCATCGTTCAATAAGTTGGCATATTTTGTTAGAATATATTTTAAATGTTATTCTCATAAGAATGGGACTGAACGCACTGAATTTGATGGAGTTACACTGGGGAAGAAATTTGGCCCAGTGAACTTAGAACATAGTGTATATGTAATTTGTATATGTTATTTACAATGCTTTACAGTATTAGGATGATTATCTTCAGATCTTACACCTTCACCTGAGTTTAAATTGAGTGCTAGATTATTGAGAGTTAAAAATTTCCAATGGGCGGAGGTCCTGATGTACACACAAAATGTGTGTGCAATTTGTGTTTTCAGCAACCTCAGTCACATGTGAAAATGGGTATATAGATATCTGCATATCCAATTACATGCAGAAGCACAGTTGCACAAACATTTTTGGTCTCCGTATGTAGCTATATTACAGTCTTATACTTCCTTCCATCCTTGGTAGTGACTAAAGTTAGAAAAAACTCCAATTACTGCCTACACATGACACAAGTTTAAATTGGAGAAAGAGATCTGGGATATTGGTCAGACAATTCAAAGGATTGCAGTGTTTATTTTCTTTGTGATTTCAAACATACCTTCCCTATTATCATATCTAAAGAAATATTTTAATAGGTGCCTTTTTCCTAGAAGAATATGTAGCCCAAATAGAAGAAAATACTGCTTTGTATTTTTTGTGTTGAAGACTATCTTCAGCCAGTCATTTAAAAATTTTTGCATTGACATAGATCTTGGTGTGAACTGGAGAACACATTGTGTTTCCACTTTATTAACCTTTGATTTTATTTTTTATTAATATAGTTTCGTTATTCTCAATATGTTTCTGTTGTTTTCCAGGAAAAATAAGAGTGCCCTCTGGTGGTCAATTTAACACCTGTAAATTCTCATGTTTCTTACAACATGAAAAGTGGGTAACCTATATGTTAATGGGTTTCCCTTACAGTTCCAATTTGATGAGCAAAAATACTCGTATGGTTTTATCTTTATTTTGTAGAATCACATGTCCTCTCTCAGCATCAGATGGATCGTTATATTTTCATCACAGGCACTTTTATTATTCAAAATTATTTTTGTTATTGTCATTAATGAAAAATGTTCAAACGGATCCATGTGAGTAGTGCTTCTCCTTGTGAGAAGACACAGTGGGCCTGCTTCTTATTTATACAAAAGTCCCTTCACACTGGCAGAAAATTACA